GCTCATAGCATATTTTATTTAAAAAGAATGAAAGATGAAACAACTATCAAGTCTTTCTGAAGAGCTGTCCTAAGTTATTTTTTTAAGTTCGACCAATTTTATAGAAAAAAACATAAAAAATTGTTGCACCAAATTAACATTATTAAATGTAGAAATATATTTTTCATAATTTTTTTCATTTTGTATCATAAATATTGTAGATTTTTTTATAAAATTTGTTGAATCTAAAAAAATCGACTTGAAACAATTCTAGAAATATTTTGTATCTATGTATATGTGACCTTCTATGCAAAGATTTCATGCTGCTTGTTTTTGTTTCTAAACTACATATGAGGCAGCGGTTTGAAAAGATCAATCAAAGACGCCCTTACGGGAGGAGCTCCGTTCATCTCCTGGACAGAACAAAAAACGGCGGATAGCCGCGACTTGTGGATCCACTCAAAAAAATCTTTGTCGCTTTGGTGAACAAAAGTGTCTTGTTTCCATGTTAGGGCTTGCCAGCGTACGGACGTATGGGGCGTCCAGACGCCCGCGCCTGCACGTCATTTTTTACGCCATTTCACGCATCCACTTGCGGCTCGCGCCGTTCCGAACGTCACTAGCATCGAGAAGAGGGGGGGAGACAGCGGATACCCAGCCACCGCTGGGAGGATGATAAGACACTTGAGGCGAGGCAGCAGAAGGCGAGAAGGGAGATGCAATATGATCTACTTTTCAAATATTCAGATGCAACACTTGTAACATACATACGAAGGCAGACGAAACACTTGAAACATGCATCTTAAATACTTGAAAAACACCTGAAAAACACTTGAAACTATTGCAAAACAAACGCAACATCTAGATAAAACACTTGCAAACATATATGTGAAACATATACAACATCGAGATAAACACACTTGCAATATACATATGAAAAAACAGGTGAAACATTGGGACAAAAGCTTGCAACATCCATCTATAACTATTGCAACATAAGCAACATCTCAATTTACTTTTTGCAACATCTATATGAAACACTTAACATATCTCTGAACATTCAAAACATATGCTTACCGTCGACACGGAATTTCGTCTCATGCCGAGGACATACGAGCAAGTCGGAAGGGTCCGCTCAATGGAGCTGGAGATCCGCCTAGCTTCAGCGCAAGGGTGGTCGATCCTGCGCACTTCTCCCAAGACGTGCCAGTCAATTTGACCATGTAATGGACAAGAAGAGAAAGCTTATCAGTAATTAAGGACGGAACATGTCGATGTTGCCAGTCAGTCCCGAATATACGGCTCTGAGAGCCGATATGAAAGGAGATCGACTAAATAGCCGATTCCAGCATATTCATAAGAATAAATCGGTTAAAGCTCATAGGGTTATGAAAAGAATCGGTTATCATTATGAATATCATTGTTTAAACAAATACTGGTCACTGACAAAAATGTATCAACAGTAATTAGTTCATGCTAAACCAATGACTACAAGTAACCGAACCCCTTTTTATGAAAGAAATAATTCATCATCATTCAACCATTTAATAGAGATAAATCTAATAAACATATTAAATCTCATCTATCGCTGTGACCAGTGGGGCATGAGGCAGAATCATGCAAGCCGTAGAAACAACAATAGACTCGATGATCCTAACTTATTACTAATATCAGTGGAACATGAGACAGAATCACGCAGGCCGTAATACAATAATAAGATCATGGGGCTAACACATCTTTCAACCTATCGCTACTTCAACGATCTCGTGATGCGAACTGTTCGTTAAAGCGCTCAATATCGACTAAAACAGTCGATTTAGGCATAACGCACAGTTAAGGTCGTGCCCTCTCAAGAACAGATCTACCAAATAACGATCCCCACTCTACGGTGTTAACAGTGGGGTGTGAGGCAGAATCACACAGGCCGTGATAACGGGCCATGGAATAGTTTTTGCTAGTCAATAGATCTACTCAAGATCAAACACGTCTTGACCGCATGCTATGCACGATCAAAATTGGCATAAAACAACCGATAAAACATAACTCATCGTTTAAATTATAGATTAAATCGGTTTAGATTAACAAACGATGGGTTAACAAAGATGTAAGGCCGATCTAGATCAATCCTAATCGGACGAAATGATATTGCTGTAATTAAATAAACAATAGAAGCAATAAACAATATTATAAGTGCAATCAAGTCCTATTGTGGGTTTTGGTATTGATGACCACCAAATTAGAGGACTAATGAGATTTATCGAGATGACAAGCAGAAAATCAAAGAATGAGAATGATGAAAAGGTTGCAGGTGTTGCAATTATAAAAGGTGGCCAGACCTAGCTCAAGGGAGATTTAAATTCTTTTATGTTTTGAATTTGAGTTTAGGAAAAGCCGTACTATCAATATGGATTTTAGGACAGTTGGTCAACTGTTGAATCAGATGCTCAAATTTATAGATTGACATCCTTCCACCTAGTCAAAACAGCCAGCCAAATTTCATATCATATAATCTGTTTTGGCTAGGGCGGCAGTGCCACCCTGTTAAGAGCGACAGTGTCGCCCTTAACTGACCGTTGGGCTCGGGGGTATTTATATCCTTCAGGCCCGGCCCACAACAGTCATCTTCTCCACTGACTCACTCTGCTCGAAAACAAACAGAACCAAAGCTCATCTCTCTCCTCCATCCCTCAAGCTATTACTTGATTCCAACCGTCAAAACTTGAGAGAAAAGACAGCAAAACTCGATTGGAGAGGACATCCACTGATTCCGAAAGTCTAAGAGCATTTGGTTCACGTTTGGTCGACGGTTCTAGGGTTTGTTACTCTTGGAGCTTGCTCCTAGCCGGCTAGACGTCGTCCTTGTGTTTGTCAACTCGTGTGGCAGCCTTGTAAGGTTTGTAACCTCATTCGAAAGCTAAGAAATCACCCCTTACTTCAAGAGTTCACTCTCTTGATTTGAGAACGAGGGTAAAGCAAGCCTTTGTGGCAAGTTCAAGCCTTTTGTGGCTTCCTCAACAACGTGGACTTAGGCAAACCTTAGTGGTGAGCTGAACCACGGGATAAATCGTGTGTCTTGCGTGCTTTATCTTCTTTATACCTGCTGTTTACATTGTTGTTAGGGTTTAGTTGCTCGATTCACTGTTGTGTGAAGATTCTGTGGTATCCAGTCTTCGAACTAGATCTTGACTTTATATTGCAAGATTAAGCAGCTAGTTGGGTTAGGTTCATATATGTTAAATCTCAACTGTGTTAGATTATTTTTAGAGAAGCGGCGAGTAATTAGCATACTGCAAGGCGGCAATGCAGCCCTCCTCTGTTCTAACATAGTTTCGAGTTGAATTTTTACAGGTCTATTCACCCCCCCTCTAGGCCTTTTTTATCTTCCAGTAGATCCTACAAATATCAGTAACTTAATGGATCTATCCAAAGGAATGCCACCCTTAGATAGTGCTGATAATTTGATCTTAATCTAGTTCAAGCAGTGGAGGTCGACCGAATCGATGCAACCGTACTTGAACTAGACAAGAGTCGATAATTAACTCATACCAGAGTTGCAGTGGAGATCGACCGGATCGATATAGCCGTATGAACAGAGGTATAAGCCATGACGGTACTTACAGACAAGCAGTGGAGGTCGACCGGATCAATGCATCCGTACTTGTTGAAGAACTCGTCGAGATCTACTCTACTTCTACTCTTAAGGGATGGGCAGAGCCGAAAAAGTAGTAACTTGTGTTTGATTGATTGTGTCCTTTACAATACCCGGGCTTTGATATTTATACCCGGGACCTGACGCACAACTCCTGTCTAAGCACGACTCATCACAATTTTTGACCGTAGAAAAAACATTCCTAATTTTAAGATAACTTGGAATATAATCTTTTTCCTTTTGTAGAGTCCATCATATTTCGTCCTAGCGTCGATTGTAGCATTTATCATTATCTGCCGGCGCTGCTTGAAGAAAGCCGATTCCAGTGCTGCATTCGAATCAGCTGATCCCGATCTGCACGCAATTGATTCCCCGCTGACATGATTTGGGAGCTTTCAAGTTCCTGTGACTCTTCTTCTAAATTTTGGTGTAAACACTTACAACATGTCAACATGTGCTTTCAAACACCAGATCTACTTTTTGCTTGGACGAAAATGAAGACTCGTCGACGCGGAGCTCGGTGCTAACGTGGAGCTCAATGATACAAAGTGGCGTGAAGATCGCTGGTGTGGAGCTCGACGATGGCACGGATCACGGCAAGGGCTGTAACAGGCTGATGGAGCGCGGTCGCAACGAAAGGCGCGAGTAATGACAGAGACGGCGCAGGAGAGGGCGAGATCCGTCCCAACGGGAGCGGCAAGGCGCGCAGCTCACGGATGCCGCAGAGCGAGCAGGTGATGCGGACGGAGGCGGCACAGGCGGGGTTCTGCGAGCGGGCGACGCGGGCGGATAGTCCGTTGCATGGATGCTGCGAAACGACGGACGGGGACACGCCGCCGTGGCACTGGCACGAGCCGCACCACGCCAGATCCCTTGCTGACAAACGCCTCCCTGCACCACTGCACCAGTGCACCGGCACGCCGCGCACGTACCCCGGCTGGACCCACTCATCCATCGGGATAGGGCCCCGCCGCCCCGGGCTAGCAGGCCACCCCATGCCCCACGCCGGGCCGGTGCTTACGATTAGGATACGATCCACGAGCGGACGGCCGCGATGAAACCTGGCGCGGTACACCGCCTGGACGCCCCCATGTGCCCCGCGCCTTTGATTGGGCCCCACCCGGCGCCCCACCGCTATTGGCCCCAGCTCACTCGCAAGTCGCATCCCCTCGCATCACGCGTTCACGCACACTCCCCCGCTCAGCTCACTAGCAGCGAGTTCAAACAAAGAGGCAAGGAGGAACCCACGCGAACGCCACCACCGCGCTGCTCTGGTCGCTTCGCTTGGTTCTGTCGACTGTTCCGGCGGTCCGGCCATTGCTGATTCATTCTTCTTAGAGGAGGAGGAGGCAGCAGCAGAGGGGAAGGGGTGATGGGGCGGACGAGCGTGGCGACGGCGGCGGCGGCGGCGCTGCTGGTGCTGGCGGCGTGCGCGGCGCTGCCGGCGAGGACGGCGGCGAACAAGATCAGCATCAACTGGAAGCCCAACGTCAACTACACCGACTGGCTGAAGCAGCACAGCCCCTTCTACAAGGACGACTGGCTGGGTAAGCCCCCCACGCCCACGCATTGGCCTTCCTTCCTCGGCCACCTCTTCTTCTCTTTCTCCGCGCCTCCTCCTCTTGTCAGATCTGAGCTTCTGACCCCGCGGCGCCTCGGCTCTCCCGCCGCCCGCCGGCACGCAGTGTTCTACTACACGGCGGGGCAGGCGGACGTGGTGCAGGTGGACGAGGTCGGGTACAACAAGTGCGACGCCACCAACGCCGTCTACAACTACAGCAAGGGCCGCAGCTTCGCGTTCCAGCTGAACGAGACCAAGACCTACTACTTCATCTGCAGCTACGGCTACTGCTTCGGCGGGATGCGCCTCGCCATCAAGGCCGAGAAGCTGCCGCCGCCGTCCCCGCCGCCGTCCGCCAGCGACCGCTCCGCCGCCATCACCGCCGCCTTCGCCAGGTCCCACGCTGCCGTCATCTACGCCGCCGTCGCCGTGCTCACCGCGCTCCTCAGGATGGTCTAGCACTCTAGCTGGGAAGAATCTACCCGCGGCCCCTTCGTTTGGTTCGAATTGGGACTCTTTTTGTTCGTTCCTCCCCTCTCGCTGTCTTTTCCGTAGTGTGCTTGCCTGGGCTCTGAAGATGAGCAGTAGCTGGTGCCGGAGTGTTGTGTTGGGCTGATTAATTAGTGGTGTGGATCTGAAAGCGATTGATTGAGCTGAGATTGATTTTTCAAGTGTGAAGAACTGTAGCAGTCTAGCTGAATTAAGTAACTTTAAGCCTTTTCATCTTGGTGATTTGGAGATAAAAGAACTCTGTTACTTTTTGGTTTCCTTTTCGGATCCGTTCACACTGGATTGTGGATTTTGCGCTTTATTCGGCTCGTAAAGTTACTTATGCTGATTTATACGTCTGATTTGTTGGGAGAGAAAAATACTATATCATAATTTATAAGTCGAATTTATAATGACAGCTGAACACTCGGTTGGTCCTCGGTTGGTTGAAAAGTCACTCTATTTTTACTTTAAACTGTTAATTAGGAATATGTAGAGAAGGCATCAATACGCATTGGAAAACCTTGAATATTAAAAAAATGAGTACGATAATAATTGAAAACGGTTATATAAACGATGTTATTTTTTCTAGAGATGATCTTGATTATACAGCCTCCCACGCTTTTGTCAGCCGTCAGCTGGTGGCTGAGACTGTAACAGTGGATGACTGAACACAAAACTGAAATGAAATGATTTTCTTTTATTTATCTAAAAAGGAGACGATCTTGTTAATGGGATCTTTCTTCTTTCGTTTCCGCTTTTTTTAGCCCTGACTGCTGCATTAGTCAGAATCTCTCTATGAACAGAGCACTCGGTAGCCTGATTGCGTGCGTGTCTGTGTCTCGATGGTTAAGGAACGTTCAGGTGGCAACTGGTTAGTGGTGACTGGTGAGCAAAGCCATGCACATGTCTGCTGGCAAGGACCGGGGGCAGTTCGTCAGTCGATGCATCTGCGTGTATTGCCGTTGACCCGTTGAGGCGAAAAAGATCATCCAGCGGCACACACATCGCGGTTCCTATGCCTACAGTATGCGTTAGCAAAGCTGGACCTGGACCGTATCCGTATGGCGCGCGCGGTCCTTGCCCGGTTGCTCTCGTGCGCAGCCAGCGGCGAATCTGGATTTTAGATCAGGTTACGTCCTTAAAAAAAATTCATATATAAATTGGCAAAATCATTTGATAATTCAGTATGAAATTTACAATATAATTCCGCATATATACACTAAATAACACGATAAGTTTTAAATTTGAAGATTAAGTTGAAAAACGTCCACAACATTAAATATAAATAGTTTAAGCATCATAACGATAGCTCCAAATATATGCATAAAAGAGAGCGAGAGACTTACAGTACTATTTATTTGACTTTTTTTAGCCGACGCTTTCTATGGGACATGAATGCGTTGATGATATTACCTTCTTCCAGACAATTATTAAAAAGCGATGCAATATCTTCATCTCTCTTGATAACTACACAATTATTAAAAACACAATACCAAACAATTAAACAAATTGCAAGTGCACGGATTGAATCCTCAATCCTCATATGTGATGACACAAACACTCACATGATACTAAATTGTTGATTAATTTTAGTTGTATCTGATGTTGAGCAAATCTCCGATCTCACTGCATATTATTGATGTCTGGATGATATTAGCCATGGATATAAACATGATCTTTCTATAGAAAGACGAATAGTACAAAGAGCGGTGGCTCAGGCAGTCGGACTATATATGCACGTTGATCGTGCACGCGCATCAGGCTGATCCTCCATGTCACGTACTCGGCAGTCGGCGCCGCGAAGATTCAAGCCTCGAGACGGCGGCCAGCGGGCGAGACTCTAATCTGCAATACAAGTTGATCAATAGGAAGTCCAGGCGTCGGTGGTCAGGAACTGCACGTTCTAAGGACTGGACCTTGACTTTCCGAATTTCCGCCTGGCGTCCTTATGGCCGCGTGGGAAGGACCTGGGCTTCCCGTCCATGTGGTCGCGTGGGCCTAGAAACCAGGAAAGTCCATCATCTCTCAGCAAGGAGCAGCTGCTGCGTTTGTTTTCCATTGTGTAGATATGGTCTTTTTTGTTTTTTTACAAATACAGACGTATATACATGAAAGCTATTGCTGCTGGATCTGTAGGGTATGCCAGTGCATACCTGGCATACCCTGTAGCTCCGCCCCTGTCCGCAGGAGCAGCTAGGTTTCGCGCATGGATCGCTGATCCCAGGCTTCCGCCGAGCCGACAACCCTTTGGTGTTGCGCCGGTATCAAGGCGTTCAGCACAAGCCTAGGTGTTGCCCGAATCGATGCTGCTTTCTTTGCGCGATTTTAGGTAGTAGGTCTACTTCTAGTCTGCTAAGGTTGTCTTCAATAGGAGGCCATCGAATGTAATACCTATAGTCTCAAACAGAGTACCTATATAAAAGACCCATTTTTTGTGGCAGGAGAGACATAACCCAAATGTGAGTATTCTTTTTCCTGGCACACATTTATAGAAAGGGTTGTCTTTTGTGTTTTGTCGTTGGAGAAGACCAAAAATAGGTATTGAACCTTTTGCCTGTAGCGCTACCTAAAAGATGAATGTGTCTTATATTTTGAGCCGCGGTCGTCGGAGATATGCGCACAAGAGATTCACAGTTTCAGTCTAAAGTAGCATAGCATAGCATGGCTTGGCCAAGTTCTCTCTTTCGTTTTTCTAGCGATCGCGAATCCGTGCACCACTAGCAGCCACGACCAGCGTTCGTCTGAGCAGCTGTTTATGCCCTGTTTGCACTATACGATAGCTAGAGTATCACAAGAAGGGCTGGTCCGGCATGTCTAGAGAACGCCCGAGTCCCGTGGAAGGAATGTGCCCAACCCAAGTGCCGCGAGCCGCGACGCCAGGCGCCAGCCATCGAAGCGGCAGCGGGCAAAGCACGTGCACACATCACGTGGTCTTGATTGCGAGCAGGTGATGGGGATCTACAGAAGCACTACCGTGCCGCGGCAGCGGCTGGCCGACTGCACATTGATTATCTTCGCACCACCAAGCAAAAAGGAGAGAATGTGCTGCTTGAAGCAAGCCCAAAAAGGGAAGAAAGAAACGGCCGGTAGCTATCCACCCGATCCATATCCGGGCGACTGGCCGACAGAGCAGATTTATCCATGCGTATCCACATAAGAAATTTCCAAATTCCGTGTGCGTCCAAAATTTTCATTCAACCGCTCGAACCACCGCTCTGTGATTGCCACGTAAACCCGCCGACCCGATTTTTTTGTTTTTCAGTCTTTTTTTTAAGATTTTCACAAATACATATCTGACAGTATCGTTTAAAAAAATAGACCCTGACCTCGGCGCCGTGACAATTGGTGCCGAGCTTACACGTCTCGGCGCCAATTGCTTTGGCGTCGAGGTCCATGGTCATTTTCTGCGTGTCGTTGACGTGGCTGTTTACGTGGCGCGGACGTGGCATGAGCTCGGCCCCGTGGATCTTGGCGCCGAGCTCGGCACCAATTACTACGGCGGCGAGCTATAGAAATTGATAAATTTTTTTTTTATCATGACTTGGATATTAAGAAATATGGCTAACTCTATATTTTTTTTTCCAGTGACTTGTTGTTTGATCACTTAAAACAGTCAAGAAATACTTAAGATAAAAAATAATCTAAGGTTTATGTTCATGAACTAGCCTAAAAATGCTTCTAAGTGTTGGATCAATAGTTAACTCCTTTTTTCATGATGCTGTTTTGACCAGGGAAAAACTATAGTTTCTTTTCTAGATATGAAGTTTGACCTTTAATAGAAGTTGTAGTTTGAGTTGAGTACAACAAGCTTTGCTTTTGGACCTAAACCTAAATCAGTCTTTAACATGGCCGAATTATGACGCTGTTTTGTCCCCTCTAAATCTTTCTAATTCCCTTATCGCCGGTAGTGAATTGACATATTTGCGACATTTTATCTTCCAAATTTGTATAGCAACTCAATTTGATACCGTACTACGAGTTTGAATACTCTCTGAGGAGATGACAACAAAAAGTCTCGTCAAGTTTGGACTTAGCCACGATAAAAAATCAGACTTAGCCATAGTCATAAATTCTAGACTTAGCCATATTTCCACGTGCTTACAGGTCATGACGTGCTTACAGGTGAGGTGTGTTGCGTCCGTGCTTACATGCCTACACATGCACGTACGGTTCGTTGCATGCACCGATGCATCTTTGGTTAGCAATGCAATAGACGCATAGAGCTGAACCCTGCATCGCCCCGCCGTACTGCAGGAGCCGAGCTTTGTACTGTGTCGCCCAGGTGTGTTGTAGTTCCATTTGGTCAGACAATTTTTTATCTTAAGTATTTTAGATTGTTTTAAGTGATCAAACAACAAATCACCGTAAAAACTCTGGTGTTGGCCATATTTCTCAATATCCAACCTAGACAACATCTATGACTTGAACATCTAAGAGTTGAACATAGATATAATACACACTAAGAGTTGAACATCTCCAACTGCTTACTGAGTAGATAGAGATAGATTATTAAAAATATAAAGCATAGCAACAAATAGACCAATTTGTGGATATCTGTAGAAAGAAAATCCACAAATTAAAGCACGAAGCCGAGAAATATTTATTTTTTATTGGAAAACATCGAGAGACCTCTGGTTGGCGAGGATATCATGTCAGAGCGGGGGAGGCTGAAGGACATTGAGGACAGGTTTATATTTACCTTTACGCTGGGTAAGTTGGCGCTGCAAGTCTTCTTTGAGTTCGTCCCTGCAGGAGCCCTTAAGCCACACTTCCTTGAGGTACCGAATCCCTTGTAGCCCAGAAAGATGCAAAGAGGCACTAGAGCACTCAACCCTCAACACACCTAATATATTTTCAATAGTTGCATGTAAGTTTGTGGTGCAAACAATTTCAAGGACCTCAAGTTGTAACCCAGCGAACTTCCGCTCATCATTAATGCCTATATGGAGCGCATCATCTTGAACTGG